ACAAAGTATATTAAGATCATAAACGTATAAAAATTAACTTCTGACAAACTTATATGTTGTCTAGACTAACACCAACTCTTCTCATCTAAATATGTTTTCTCAGATTTATTGTATTCTAATATTCATCATGTATATAAGTCCATTTATGGAATTTTTATTGACGACCGCTTAAATATTATATAATTTTTAATGTTTAACTACGATTTGCTTTGAATTTCACATAAAGCTAGATCGAAATAAAAAATCTATAGATAATCTGGAAAACTGATTGAATCAACACGCTTTTTTTACACAGACTAAGCGTTGATGTTTCTATTATAATACTGCAAAGTTTACTTTTATTAATTATTATTTTATTTTGCATTTATTATTTTTTGAAATTTCATGACGAGATTTCAAATAAACCTACTTGAATTTAAATACACACACACACACAAGTAGTGGCAAAAATAGAAAACACCTGGGTAAATGAGGTACAACAAGTATATGCAATGCAGAGGCTGCCACACAGGTGTGGTTCGTCCATTAATTAAGTAAATAATATCCAAGAATGCATAGGATCATGTATAAAAATGCTGGACAAGCCTGGTTGCCTATAATCACGATTAGCATGGCTGCGAGAAGAGACCTCAGTGACTTTCAAAGAGGGATGATTTTTGGGGTGAGTTTGAAAGGAGCTTCAGTGACCAAGACAGCTCAACTTGCTAATGTTTCACGAGCAACGGTGATGTCATCATGGAACTCCGAGGGAAGGACATCACTAGCAAAGGGCAACAGTGGGAGGAAGCGCATACTCCAAGATCGTGATGTTCGTGCATTATTTCAAACTACAAGTCAAAATAGGCGAGCAACCGCAGGTCAGTTGACCGAAAATTTCAACCTGGAGTGAGTGCAGCCAGTTGCATCAAAAACGGTCAGCCGAGAACTTCAAAGAATGGATACCATAGTCGGGTTGCAGTGCACAAACAATTCATCACACCTGGCAATGCACGGTTGCACAGCCAGTGGTGCAAAGAGGACAGGCTATGTACTACCGAGCAGTGGAGAAATGTGATATGGTCAGATGAATAACCCTTCACCATGTTCTCGACAAATGGACGAGTGCACGTGTGGAGCCAACCTAAAGAACTCTTCAGCCCCGAGTGCTTAGTTCCAGCAGTGAATGGTTCTGGTGGTTCCGTAATGGAGTGGAGCGCATTTTCCTGTCATGGTTTGGGTGTACTCATACCCTTAGAAGGCAAGGCCGATGTCAATCATTACTTAATGGTACTAAGTGATCATCTTCACCCCATGTTACAACATTAATGTCCTGCAGAGAGGGGGTGTCTTTCAAGATGACAATGCTCCATCCACAGAGGTAGTTGCCCAGTGGTTTGAAAAGCATGACACTGACGTTATTCATATGTCATGGCCTTCTCAGCCACCAGATCTGAACCCAATCGAGCATGTACTGGATATTCTGGAACAATATCTGAGACAGCGTTTCCCACTTCCATCAACTAGGCGTGAGTTGATTGATTTTCTCGTGGAAGAATGGTGTCACATTCCTCCTGCAGAATTCAACACACTGATAGACTCTATGACACGGTGCATACAGACTGTACTGGCCCAACACCCTATTAAGTGACTTTACATTGGTATTTTCATTTTTTGTCCACTACCTGCATATGTATAATATTCAGAATCTTGGCCAAACTCACAAAAAACCGTCGCAAATAAATAACTAAGTAATAAGTCTTTATATGTCAATTAAACGTATCTCAGAAAGAGGGGTATCTGTAGAGGACTCATGTGGATTCATGAAATATAATCTCTACTTGTTGAACTCGTTGAACAATTACATTTTAGAATATTCTTTAAACAGTACTCTGACAAAAGAAAATGCTACATAAGTAACTAATGACACTTCAAATTTGAACAAGTTAACATAAACTGAGTGCTGTTCGACTATAAAACATGACCCAAATTTAGGATAAAAATTTCATTACTTGTAATTGTGGTTCACAGAGTTATATGTCATACTACACCGGCTATTTCTAATTTGATGAATTCGTACTTGACACTGGACTAATGTAATTTTCAATGAAACATCGGCCTATTATTTGTATGTTAACGTCCTGTGGGAAAATTATGTTTACGTGATATGCAGAAAGCATTAACCAGACATCATTCTTTTCTTTACTGCATATGACATCAGACAGTGGTCGGATATAACATTATTGTTTACAATTCTCTTGGGTTTATCGGAAAGTTTACAAATGGCAAAACTACTGTTATACTTCTTTTGGTAATATATACTTAACTCTCTTTAAAAATCGAGTTCAAGTAAAAGAGGACCAAAACTTTTTAGAGTGGTTCATAAAATCGATATCCATGTTTTCCTAAGTTATTGACTCTTTAACCCTAAAAGTGTTGGTTTTTTGGGGGGTTATGTATGTATTTTACATTATTCTTAGTTATCTAATAATGAGTACACTGGCAATTCTAAGTTTCATTTCGAAACAGTATCCAAGGTTCGCTAAATTAGTTGTCCAAAATTACTTACAAACATTATATGATAAACATGAGGATGTATCGAAAGTATATTCACTCCTAGAGTTTGGATTCATCAGTTTTGCTATTCAAAGAGGAAGTTAAATATGCCTGTTCTATTAATATCAAAATTATTCAGAATTGAAATATGATGAAAAACATATTATGTATTGTTTATTTATTGAAGTTCAAGGAAAGCCACTTGGCTTTCTGAGATAGCGATACTTAATTTTGGAGTAATCGACTAGAAGGAAGCAATTAGTCGACATCGACAACAGCTAATTCTTGGACTACTCTTTATCAACGAATAATGGGATTAACTTTTATATTATAACGCCTCCATTACTGAAAGGGCAAGCATCTTTGGGACGGGTTTTGGTCTTGCAACCCGGAGATTGCGAGTCGATTGCACTAATCACCAGGTCATTCCTAGTTATGTATTGAAGAGCACATACTGGTGAGTTTATTCAATATCTATCTATATAAGTAAGGGCTTTCACAGTAATGTTTTGAATTTCTGGTACCTAACATCAGCATTTATTTCAAGTAAATGGTTGCATGCTATTCAATATATACGTATATTGTTTCGACTTTGCCTTTAATGTGATTACCAACATTTTAAGTTTAAGTTTATGGTATAAGCCTGACTGAATATTACAATTAGGAGAAGTGGGTGTACGACGAAAAGAAAATCGTAAGACATGAGGCCCAAAGTTAATTAAAAAATGCTAGTGCAAAGTAATAGAGAGCAGTTTGGACAGTCAATATTGTTTAGTGGTTGGCTTTCAGATAATATAATGTACAGTATTTCCGGTCCCCTGGTAGGTCAACGGGAAGTGTACAATCTTCCAACGTTGCAATTAAAGACTCGATTACCTCCACTGGACAGAGCTCAAACAGCTCGTTCTGTGGTTTTGAGTCAAAACAAATAATCAGTATTCTACCGCTCAATCACAAGGTAACTCTTTTTTTTATGCTGAGAACAATAAGTCACTTATTTAGTTACAGTATCTCACCCGTTTAAGTTGCAGACGGTAATGGCAGGGAACTCTAACTTCTTGTTGTTTTCAACGTCCAGGCTAACCACTACAGGATACTCCATATATGACGTTACAAACCGAATGCTGTGATAGGTGCAAAGTCCAATACAGATGAAAAATACAACGACCCAGGCGCAACGACGACTATTGGTCGGTGACTTAGCGAGTTGGGAAAGGCCCGAAAATGAGGACTGACCAAACATATTTTTGAAAATATCCCAGATGCCTTTTCGTATACTGGATGATGTACAGTTGACCAGATCAGTGTTGGATATCTCACTGATCTTCGCAGAAACTTTTACTGACGGAATAGCCTCATCAGCACTTTCCATTCTTCTTTTCTTTTATATAACTTCTGCTGTTATTGTTGTTTCTCTGGTGAAAAACAAATTCGTTGTTATTTCTCTAGTTATTGCAGTACACAGACATTCAGATATTTTACAGATTTTTCTTCTACTCAATAAAAGCCATTTCGAAAAGCTATCAATAATAGGTCTACAGAAATGATAAAAAACTAAGTAAACTTCACAAAAACTAATCCATAAAATAAGTAATACTCTATAGTTTTAATAATTTTATTGAAATGAAACACATTATAGTTTATATTTGAGAAGCAGCGTTTTACAGCCCTTTTCTCAAAACCAGAATGTTCTTAAGTATTGAATCCATCAAAATATTCTACAAGAGCCATAACTTCCATCATTCAGTAAGAAGCAAAGGCGGAAGACTTTCGAAACCTCGTCTTCTACACTTGTGTTTCTACAACAAGCAGTTGCCGCCCATTCAACAAAGTTTCATCATGAATACTCTGCCTAAACAATCTATCAAAGAACATAATGGACAGAACTGTTGGGTATCACCAACAGAATAGGAAGACGGGTGTTGTCTCTGATTATTGTAAGAGGAGTTAGCTTACTGGAATGTGAGGTAATGGTCTTAAATGTGGTCGAAAAGAGGAAAGCATATTATAACCTGCTACGAGGAAGTGAGCTGATCAAACTTCCTTATAGATGTTTAATTGGTAATTCATTTATACTTTTGTGGCTATTTTTATTTTTATTTGTATTTATTTTATCAGATATTTCTTTGAAACTGAGTTTTATCTATAAATTATTTTGTTGAATATTTATTCTAGTTTAAAGAATATTGTATACTGCCATCTGTCTTGCTAATTTCCAATATAATTCAATTTTGTATGGTAAGTAGTTTCAGATTATCTCCGTTCTACCTGTCGTTCATGCATAAAAACATGGTGAATGGCAGTAGAGTCAACTAATAAATAATAAATATAAACAAATAAATAAGCGATTTGAAAATTTAAAAAATTAAATAAATAATGTTGTGCTATTAATTCTTGTCCTATAAATCTACTTTTGTGAACGATTTAAACGAAATTGATAATAATTACACCTTACTTTCTTACTCTCGTTCATATGATGACAGTCATTGTTTATGTTAAATTGATGATATATATAGCGTATCACAGCCGGCCTGATGAGCTCTGATATTTGGCGAAAGGTATCGTAACTACTGAATATGTCAGATATAGATGTATTATAACATATTATATTCGGCTTTCACTCCTGGATTCTGAGAATTATTAATGAACTTGAAGTTGCGATGGTAAAAATGTATAATGTGGATTTAGTCTGGAAGTATAAGTTTATTATAGAAAAGTATGATAAACAGCTTGAGACGGACTGCCCACTGGATCTTTATTATTATTGTCATCCCTCACTGAATAAAACATGATTGGATTTCGAAATATCCGAGCTTAGTGTCTGTTTCAATGTTTTCTCGCAAAGCTATACAAAGAGCTAACTGTACATTAGTTTTGCCTAGTTTTAAACTGATAGACCAGAGGGAAGGCGGCTAGCTAATCAACATTACCCATCGCCAACCTTTTTTACTGTTGTTTGACTGAATAGTAGGATTTCACAGACGGTTATTTAGCGCATCCACGGTTCCAAAGTCCGTAGTCTTTTTTTTTGTTGTTTTTGAGGCAACTGGTCGCGAGGTACGAGCAGCTTCAAAACGCTGACTACGAGGCTACACCCGCCATATTTTAACTTTATACGCTATAAATTTTCTGAAATCTTAATGTTTCAAGATTTTTCAAAATTAAACTTATATTTTAAGTAATACTGTAAGTATCGATTAATACCTTTTTCTATTATCATTACCTTCGACTATGGAGGATCACATATTTAATAACAGAGGTAAAAGAAAAATGTTTAGATGTAAATAAACCATACAGGAATATCTTCCTGAAACATTGTTAAATGAAATACAAGAATATCTTGCTAAAGCTTTATTACAGGAACATTGGAATTCGTTATTTGTTAAATGATTTTGCATAAAATAAGCCATATTCACAAAGTTCTGTAATGTACTTACGAGTTTTTCGCTCTCTTTTGATTTCCGGGAGTGCACTTTCTCTGCTGCTATCGCCAGATATAAGCTATTGGTATAATGTCTGCCTGTTACATGTTTCGAGGGCGGTTCTTGTTACGTCACTATAAATATGCTGATGGGCATGGGTTTCCAGTTGTTATTATGGTCATTTTCAATGAGCATTTTCTGCCAAATGTTTCCTACCTGCAACACTTATTGTGTGCGATCGGAGTAGAGAACACTAGTAGCTTTAGATAGCAGTTATTGTTTAGGATCAAGTACAGAACACTAGTAACTTTATATAACAGCAATTGTGTGGGATCAAGTAGAGAACACTAGTAACTTTATATAACACTTATTGTGTGGGATCAAGTAGAGAACACTAGTAACTTTATATAACACTTATTGTGTGGGATCAAGTAGAGAACACT